TGCTCTCTCACAAGCTCAAGTTGAGACCACAGAGGTTGGGAGCAGAGGGGGAAGCTTAGAAATTCAGATGGGAAAGGGAGGGAGAAAGAATCACAGGCTAAACATAAGGAGTTGCCTTACAGACTTGTGAAGTAACGGAGAAGATTAAAACATTTTTTCAGATACCTAATTGTTACCAAGGCAATAACCTTAAAAAAATTAGGGTTTGGTCCTGCAGGTACTCTAAGTAGGGAAAAATAAAATCACTCTGTGGGTTTTATTGGTTTACTCCTGTTGTTTGATGGCTTGTAATTAGCTTGGAATGTGATGATTGATGTTCGTGTTTCTTTTGATAGTTTTGTTTTCCACATACGAAAGCATCAGCACCAGCAGTTGGCTTGCTGAGGTGATACAGTATTTAATGGTGATTATAGGGGGATTGTGTCTTAACTTTCTATGCTGTACCTACAGGTTGGTGATGTTTTTCACCTGGCACATTTGCTAGGGTAGCGAAATATTGCAGAATCTCAAATAAGTTGGCAGGAATGCTGATCAGCTTTTCTGTTGCCCTGTGGAGAGGATGCATCTGTTCTTGCTGCTTGTCTGGAACATGTTTTTTTGATAAGTACTTAGTTTAATTCCAAAGTGTGAAATACTGGGAGAAGAAACTGTGAAGTTGCACCCAAGTACCTGTAATACAGTCTCATTCTGCTCGTTGCTCAGCTGGCTTGCTTGTTAGTGAGCAGGCAAAAGAGAAGTTGCTGCCTTTGGGAAATGGCAGAGCTCAAATGTTCAGCAGTACTCTGCTGCTGCCTCAATCCTATTCAAGTGTAAGATAAGGATGGCTCTGGTTACTGCCTTTCCCTGGGACAAAAGGGATCTAGTAATGGGGTGTGTAAAATCATGGGGAAGAAGGGATTTAGCACTGCTCAATGTCTATCTAACAAGACCAGTACAAGGTGAAAACTGAAGATCCAGTAATAGGAAATGAAGAAAACTAAAACTACATTCTTGTGTGAATGCTGGAGTTAACTATTCTCATTTGCTTTAAAGGAGGAGGCTGAAATTCTGTGACTGAGGGTCTAGTAAGGAAACTGTAAAGCCAAACCATTTCTAAGGTTTTCAGATGCATGCAGCAGGAGGAAATGGCTCCAGGGACGACTTGCAGTGCAGAAGCATTAAAGGCTGGACACAAGAAGCAAGCAAGGCTGCCCTATTCCAGAGCACTTCCAGGTGCTGGTGTCTGCTAAAGCCCTTTGGGGTTTGCTGCGGGTGCTTGCACTGTTGGATAAGGTAACGGGTGCAGTTCAAGAGGCTGGACTCCACAAGCACTGTTGTGTTGTGCTGAGGTTCAGCCGGTGTGCAGAAGGGAATGCTTTCCTTTGCGGGCTTTTCCAGTTTGCTGGCTATTAGGTAGTTGCAAAATGAAGTATTCTGACTATCGTGAAGAGACCCCCTTGTCTGTTGCTGTCATATCTGATCAGCTTGTTTAAAATGCACTTACGCAGTATCAGTTCGTATCAGATCGAGGACTGATGAGCAGTCTGGCTCCTACCACTTTGCTCTTAGCTTTAAACCACCATCGTTCGTGGGCTTCAGAAGTTACAGCTTGTGCTTTATGCGGCTTCCCCTTAAACAACAGTGACTGCATTTACAAGAATCAAAGATAAATCTGGAAAAATGCAACTGGTATGTGGATAATTTTGTCACATCAAAGCAGTAGACAAACATTTCCTTTTTTTTTTTCTGGCACAGCGCATCTCACTAGAAGCTGTCATTTATCATAGAAAGCTACAAGTGGTGGAGTATGCTAAATTACTTACCTAGTGAGCTACCTTTGGGAGCTGAAAGAAGGAAGATGTGATTTTCTGTGGCCTTGCTGAAAGGAGCCATCATTCCCTTTTCTGTCTCGGTCATGGCTCAGGTACCAGCTTGTCTACCTGGTGAGACACCTGCATGCCAGAGGTGGCCAAAAGGAGAGGAAGGAAGCAGGGGCTCAGTCAGGCACAACGCTGCCTTTGGGCTGCTTTCCCTCGGTGCAGCCTGGCCCCTCTGCTCTACCTGAGCTCATAGTGGCTTTAAGGCAGTGGGACCCTCCAGAGGAGAACCTGTAAAACCCCACTGGGGCTATTTCAGGCAGCAGGGTTTTATTGTGGATGCCAGCTAATGACAGGAAAACAGTCTTGGGAGTAGACTGAATTTTTTTTTTTTTGGACTGGTTCCTGTTGAGGACCAAAGTGCACTTCTGTGGAGGAATATTGCATGCATTTTCAGAGCAAGCTCCAGAGTAAATGGGCTCCTTTAGCAGCTCGGCTCCAAGGAGACAAAATTATCTCTGGGAGAAAATCCCCATCAGCTGCGCAGCTGATTCCAGTTTGAAAGTGTAATTGTTCAGTGAGACCTGAGTGCTGTGGCCATAGCCCCAAGCTGCAGAATAACACAAACCTCAGAAGGGCAGTGTTCTTGAATGGAGAGATGATCGCCCACATCTCCATTTCTGATGGTTTTCTGGTCTTTTTCAAACCTGTTCTCTGAGCTGTTGAGTACAATCAGTGTAGACCTCTTGGACAACAGCTGGTACTAACCCCTGAGCAGTGCTGTCAGAAGAGGAGAGACCAGGCAGAACTTCTGCTGTAGAATTGCTCAGCACATATTCTTATGGGGAAGATTTAATTTCCCAAATAACTAAAATGTGAATCCTTCTTACTAGCTTTGTGTAGCACACATAGCAGTAATATGTAAGTCAGGGATTTTCCTTCTCACCAGCTTTTTACAGAGGAACTACTCCATGCTTTAGAAATGGATGTTCCCTTCCCCCTACCCTGGGCTCTACAGAGCATCCCAAATGACTGAAGGGTTAGGGGTGAACTGGGTTTTTCTCCCTGGAGGCATCCAGCATGTTCTCCCTGGGATGCCGGGGGCAGCTGGTTTACACTGACCCTGATCATTCAAGGGCAAGCACATTAAGGTGGGTTTGAGAATCATTTGGTTCTTTTTTTTTTCCTACCTCCTTTTCATTCTGTTATATATCAAATTAAGTGCACATAAAACAAACAGGCTTTATTTTTAATTCTCAGCTGGCCCATTCCCTGCAAGCTGTTTCAGAGGTGTTGGTCACGACTGTCCCTGCTCAGCTGGCTCACAGAGTGAATTTGGGTGGAGCTCTGCACCAGAGGAGGGCTGGACTCAGCAGCCTAGCCCTGTGGCCCAAATGCAACTGCCAGAAGCCACAGTTTCAAAGTGGATGCTGTGTGATAGATGTGCAGTCCAGCATGCTCTTTGCCATCACCTGAACCTCATCTCATCTTCCTAATTTTTAAAGCATGAGCTCTAGCGGGGACTCGAGTCTGCTGGTGGCTGGCTGACTGAGCGGTTCCCCTGGAGCTCATCTCTGCTTCATGGATGTCTCCCAGGCTGTACCTCCTCACCTTGCCCTCTCTGGGGACCCTTCCCTTGGGCTGGGAGCTGTGGACACCCCAATTTACCATGTGTCACTGTGCTGTGTTCCCTGTAGGTTGTGTCCTCTGAGCCACCTTGTCCCCTGGAGACATTTGCAGCCGTGCAGCAAAGGGGCAACAGCAGAGCAGTGCTGCTGCATGCTCTCAGCTGCCTCCTGCTGCTCCTTGGGTGGCTGAGGGGGCTCTGCTTGGCCACGGCCCCCCCAGCTGCCTGCTGGTCTCTCTGTGACGAGCCTTGGTGTGTGGGTCAGCCACAGCATCCTCTCGGTGTCTCCTCCCATGCATGGGGGGTAATCCGAGCTCCAGCTTCTCACTGGCACTGGGATGGTGACAGCTGCAGCCTTGCTGACAACTCATGGAAGGGACAAGGAGATCTGAAACCCTATAGCTCTGCTCAACCCCCAGGACTGCAAATGCCCCTGTCACAGGGCTGTGCCTGGCTTCCTGAGTCACAAGTGATCCCTCCCACCTGAGCAGAGGCTCTGGATGCCAGCAGTGTTTTTTTACCAACCTTTGGGACTGTTGGGTCTTTTATTTTGTCTTGAGGTACTGCAGTCCTTCAGAGGAGGTATCGGCATGTGGCTTGTGCTGGTGTGACAGTTCCCCAGTGCCCTCATGTTTCCCTCCTAGCTTTTGGGTTAGAGGTGGTTTTATTCACAGGCTACCAACGTATAAGGAGGCATGATGGTGGTACACGTCCTCCCCTCCAGTGGGGCTGTCTTCCTTGCTAGTGAGATGGCAAGTCTGATGTTGTGCTGGCCAGGGCATCTCAAGGTAAGGATGGCAGAACTGAGCTGGAAGTGGAGCATCAGGGCAGTGTGAAGTGAGTCTGGAGTCATCTCCCTGGTGAGCTCCAGAATTTTGTCAAGGGTTCATCCTAACTCTGGACTCCAGAGGTCCTATTGGGGTGGCAGCAGATCCTGCAGGCTGTTGTAGGTGGATTAACTAGGTTAAACAAACATCAGCCATGGCAGACCCTGTGGGTTCCCCTCCCGAGCAGACTCCCTGGGCAGCTGATGCCTGCAGGACCTGCCCTTTGCGCTGTCTGATAGTGCTAAGGGCTTGTGTTGAATCTGGTTCCTGAGCAGAAATGCTCTCCAGGTGTTGTGTGCTCCAACAGGTCAGGGCAGCACCCAGGAAACAGCTGTGTCTGCAAACCGGAACAACAAAAAGAAAATACTTGTTTTAGATACTTGTAGGAACTAAGTAAAACCTTTGATCTCAAAGGGGTTTCCTGTTCATAGAGGAAAACCCTTGGGTCCCAGAATGGGAGCAGGGAGCCTGAGCAAACCCCTCCTAGGCAGGGGGAGGCCCACGTAACGTTTTGCACCCTTCTGTGAAGACAATGACCTTCCAGGGGACAGATTTCATCCCTGGGTTGTGCAAGGCCCTTCATCAAAGGTTGTCTTGGCCACACACACTGCTTTGGCCCACTGGTGCCTCTCTCTAGGAGATGGTTGTGCCTTTTGGGGCTGAGCGAGATCAGTACAGGTATGCCCTGTAAATGCTAAAAGAAACAGAGCAGTGGGTCGGGAGGAGTTACAGGTTGCCCCAAGCCAAGCATGAGCACCATGGTGGCGCTGATGCCTCCGTGCTGGTGGGACAGCAGGCACTGGGAGGTCCTCTGCCCCTCCCAGGTGCAGAGCCACCCCTGCAGCGCCCATTCCCTATGCCAGGCACAGAGGCAGGACGGAAATGCCTCTTGAGTTAATGCAGGCACTGTGTCCTGTCAGCTGCTGAGCTGCTATGTCCATCTTTAGCCTGCTCTCCAGTTACCAGCCACCTCCTCCAGCTGCCTCCAAAGATAGGCAAAGCCACCTCCCAGCGCCTGGGCTGGAAGCTGCGGGGGAGCAGAGGGGGGCTCACGGGCAGGGATGAGACGCGTGGGATTTTTGTGGAAGGAGTGAAGGACACTGCAAGTACACCCGAGCTATGGCATCGCTGTGCTACAACAAGGGCTGCGGGCAAAGGTTTGATCCTGAGCACAATGTGAAGGGTAAGTGGGCTCATCTGCCTGGCGCCGGGGTGAGGGGGAACGCATGCCACTTTCCTGGGCTGCGACCTCAGCTGCCTTGCTGAGGCCTGAGCTGCCAAGCAGGGCTGAGCCAAGCCCAGCGCAGGCAAGGCTGCATGGCAGGAGCTGGCTCAGGAGCAGCGGGACATCACGGGTGGCTTGTGGGCAGGACTGCTCCTCCAGAAAGGTTCTGCCTGATTTTCCACTTTCAGATTCTTGCCTGTATCACCCAGGTGTCCCCATCTTCCATGATGCCCTGAAGGTGAGTGGGGCAGGAGCTGGGGCTGCAGCCGCAGGGAGGGGCCTTGTGCCTGTCAGGATTGCCCATCTCTGATCAGTTTGACATCTCCTGGTGCCTAGGGCTGGTCTTGTTGCAAGAAACGCACGACAGACTTCACAGAGTTCCTCTCCATAAAGGTGAGTGACCCAACAGCCCAAATGCACTCACTGCTCCTCCATCACCCCCGCTCTGTCCTGTGCCATCCCCATCCCGTGCCAAGGCTGCCCACTTTGCCCTGCTGGCCAGGGATTTCCTATCTGCTTCCAAGGAGCCTGCAAGCAAGGGTGCTGCTCCCGAAGTGCAGGGCAGGTGCTTACGGAAAAGGGTGCCAGAAGGGGCTGGGATCCCCCACCAGGATCCTGTGGGATGAACAGAAATGCCCCAAGTGCCAGCGCAGCTGTGAATGTCTGAGCGGTCCTGGGGGGGGGGGGGGGCAGGAGGCAGCAGAGGCCCTGGGGATGTGCGGGAGACTCTTGCTGCCCTTCAGCTGCCAGGCTGGAGTGCAGCAGAGCTGAGGCCTGTCTGCCATGGCCCTGGTGAGGCTTCTACACCGCCTTGTCCCTGAGAATCTCTGTGGACACAGCCCCTGCCTGGGTGCAGGGTCAGACCCCATCCCTGCAAGGACACAGAGTCACCAGAGCACGGAGACTCGCAGGGTTTGGGAGCAGCCACCAGGTTAGGGAGGGCAGAGTGGGCATCAGCCTTGCCTCTGCTGCTCAGGGATGCACAAAGGGGTTTCATAGCAAGGAGAAGCCCCCTGAGCCTTTCAGCCAAGAGGAAACCTCAGACAAGCTGAAGGCCAAGCCAGTGGAGGAACTCATTATCCAAGGACCAAAATCAGCTGAGAAGATGCAGCAGGAAAGACCAAGGTGAGATGGGCTCAGCTAGCAGTGTGACCCTGCTGTGGCACTTCTGCACGTGTCTTGCCCTGCTCCTTCCTCGGGAGAGGCAATGACACTTAAATTGCAAGAAAACCCCACTCAGACTTTGCTGCTGCTGTTTCCCAGCTCTGACGAGCCAAGACAACTGCTGCCAATTAAGGTATCCAGGTCTCTGGAGCAGTTGCTGAAGAAGCTGAACCTGTCTTCTGAGAATGAGGCATCGGAGGGCAGCTGTGCAGGTAGTGATGAAACTGATGGATGGCAGCAGGGTTGCACGTGGCAAGTTCAGCGTGGGGTTTTGCACGGCAGGTTCAGTGCAGGGTGGCGGGTGCCGCATGCTCAGCCACTCACAACCCCCCAGAGTCGTGCCTCAGCAGCATGTTTCAATGGGCTTTGCTTCGGGGCCATGCATGAGAAGCTGGGGAGCTGGCAGTGGGGCTGCAGGGAGGGTTTGGGGGCAGGCATGGGCGGCGTGTGCCCTGGGTTGAAGCTGTGTTGCTCTCGCAGGGGAGGCGGCTGCCCAGGTGACAGCTGGCACCACCTGCAAGAACACAGCCTGCAAGGCGGTGAGTTCCTGGCAGGGTCCTGCCTTTGCAGGCTCTGCACTGTGTGGCCGGGAGCACCGGGGGTCCCCTGTGGGGGTTTATTTCCCAGCTGCTGCCAGGCGCAGGGCGGGGTGTCGGGCGGGTGCAGGGTGGCAGTGCCCATGGCTCCGTATGCTCCTGCTCGCCCTGCCCCTGGAGCAGCTGCCTCTGTCACCTCCCAGCCACCTTCTTGCAAGAGGCTTCCAGATTCCTTCATTGGTAGTACATTTGTGTTTCACTGCTGCTAATTGCTTGCCTGTCCTTGTCTAGATCCCTGCGCCTTTTGTTGTATTTTCTCCTCCCCATTTGTGAGGGGGAAGGAATGAGTGAGTGGCTGCATGGTGCTCAGTTGCCCTCTGGGCTCATGCCACAACAGAAATGTAGCACATATTTAGGATATGAACATATAGGTAAAGTGCATATAGAATAATTCCCACCTGCACTTAATTAATGCAGCACAGGCCACTTTATATCTTGCCCCAAGACCTTGTGTTGGACAGTGTGCCTGCCTTGAGGTGTGCACTGGTGAGATCAAGCTGCAGGAGGGCTGGCGTGCTTGGAAAGCAGCAGAGAGGGGAGTGAGCAGGGAGAAAAAGGCAGGAGGTGGATGAAAACATGAGACTGTCAAGGAGGGGAAAGGACAGGATGGACACCTTGGAGCAGGTTTCTGTGGTGTCCAAACTTGCCCACTGCTGCTCAGCCCCAGGCTGGGACCATGCTGTGTCTGGGAGAAGGCATACAGAAGGGCTGCTGCCAGGGTTATGGGAGTGACACTGGGGTCCCAGAAGGGCTGGGGTGGCTGCCCTGCTGGCAGGGAGCAAGGACCAGTGCAGGCCTGCCAGAGGCTGAGTCCTCACAGGCGTGGGACCTGGCGAAAGGGTGATATTGGGTGTTGTGCTGTGCCCTGTGTGGGGATGGGCACCAACTGGCGGATGTCTGGCTGGGCTGTGCTGTGTCAGATGCACAGCTGAAACTTTCTTCTGCTTCTCGTTTCACAGATCTACCAGGGCCGGGAGAGCAAAACAGAGGTTTGTACTTTCCATCCTGGTGTTCCTGTCTTCCATGAGGGGTAAGAAACAACCCTTTACCAGGGAGCAAACTGACCCTGCCGAGGGCTGAACGTGCCGTATCGCAAGGTTGTGTGACCTCAGCAGCAGGGCTGGTGCAGTCATGGGTGACATCCCTCCAGGTGACGGGTGGGCAGGGGGAGCTGCTGGTTTTGAGCTCCCCCACCACCACCCTGAAGCCTGCTGTGGTCCTCTCTCCTACTCCCATGGGCATTCCCCGCTCAGGTCGCTCCATTCTCCCCAGGATGAAGTACTGGAGCTGCTGCAGAGTCAAAACAACAGACTTCAGTGCCTTCCTGGAGCAGTCCGGCTGCACCAGCGGGCAGCACTGCTGGATAGAGAAGGGGGTAAGGGGGGGTCTGGGCAGGGGTGACTTGTGTGATTTACTGGCATTACTGGCACCTGGGGAGTGCTGCTTCCCTTGCTCTGCATTCACATGGCTTTCTGCATTTAATTATCTTAATTTTCATAATCGCTAACAGATGACCATGCAGGGTTTGAATGCCTAATCTTTACCCATCTGCTGTTTAAAATGCTGCTCCTGCATTCACAAAAGCTGTCAACTCTTACTCCGAATGGCCAGATGTGCAATAGGAAGCTGAACGAGAAAGGAGCTGGCCCTGGGCATGGCATAGCCAGTGCTGCAAGCTGCGGCATAGGGACAGGCAGCTGAGCATGGGAAAAGCTCTGAAAAAAACAAAACAAAACAAAACAAACAAAAAAACCCCAAAAGTTTTGACAGATGACTGCAGATGACTGAATTTGATTTTAAATAAGCTTTCCCTCCGCAACTGCTTCCCAGGAGGGACCTCATCTACATAGCGATGTGGTGTTGTGGCAGGGCAATGGGGAGAAGATCCCAATTCCCAATATTGTGTGTCTGTAAGTTTCCCTGGGAAAGCTCTTGGTTGGAAACAGGCTTGAGCTGGGAAAGTTGCACCAAAGCAGCCCAGGATATCCCTGAAAGTGCACCATGTTCCTCTGAGTTAGCATGGCTCAGAGCAACTCTCTCTGAGCCCAGCCTGTTCTTTGTCCTGGGGCAGAAAACAGTAATGGATGTAAAGGAAGCTGCAGTGAATGAACTGTGATGTTGTAATGCAAATGTTTTGTGCTAACTGTCACCTGAGTTTGGGGCTGGAATTCCTCCTGGGGTGTTTCTTTGGCTGGCAACAGCTGAGGGCCGCAGGGAGTTTGTCTCCTGGTGATTCTCAGAAATGCCTGGTAGGGCCAAAGCTTCCTGTGGCACAGATGAGTCCTGTGGGAGAAAGGTGAAATGTGGCCAGTTGGGGCTCATCTCTTTCCCAAATTTAGCATGGTGGCACAATCCATGCCCGGCAACAGCCCCTGCTCTGCCCTCCAGACCAAGTTTCCTGACTGTGCACAGCACCTATGAGCTTGGACACAGCACAGTGACTCTGGAACAAGAATGGGATGTCTCTGGCCTTAACATGCTCTTCTGGAGCAACCCCAAGCACAGCACAGATGTTGCATGGGGCAGCCTGGCAGGGGCTGCACAAAAGGCAGGGTTTGATCTTGCTTGGCTGGTGCTGACCTCAGCCAGCGCTCTGCGAAGGAGACATGCAAAGGCACAGGCATCCCCTCTGTTTGGGGTGTGCTTGGCTAGATGCCGTGCCGTGATGGATTCTTCTCCCTGGCAGGACAAGAAGGCGGTGCCGTGCCGGCAGGACTGGCACCAGACCAGCAGCCAGGTGGTAGTGACAGTCTACGCCAAGAACCCCCTGCCTGCCCTCAGCAGCGTGAAATCCAACCGCACCACAGTGAGTGGGGCCGTTCAGCCTGGGCTGGGGCTGTGCGCCTTCATGGTACCTGATTTGGATGAGCCAACATCCAGGAGCTGGCCAGGTGTCTGGTGTGCTCTGTTGCTGCAGTTGGGCTGGCACCGCTGACCGGCTGTCCCCGTGCTGAGAGCCCAGCGGCTTTGCTGCAGCAGCAGCATCTGCCCAGCCACTCTGGCTCAGTGGCTTTCAGCCTCAGTGGGTTGCTTTTCTGGACTTGAATCCCTTTGGTGGCAGAGATGAACCCGGCATACTTTGAAGGGGGTGAAATGCTCAGAGGTGCCGAGAGGATCACCAGACCATTACACCGTGACCAGGACATGGGATGTGTTACAGTGCTGGAAGGCAGCTGCACTGTCCAGGGGAAGAACTCTGGCAGTGCAGTGCTACCCACTCAGATAATTTTCTGTTGATCTTCCAGGTTGAGGTTTACATCACCTTTGAAGGGAATAAGATTTTCCAGGCAGAACTGGATCTCTGGGGGGTAAGATCATGTTTACTTTGATTTCGCTATTCCACTAGTCTATACGGGGCTGGACTGCAATGCTGCAAGGCAGACTGTCCTTGTTCTTGCTCCTGGGCCAGGTTGCCCAGATACCCACATTTATAGCCATCTCTGCTAGGAGATGCCTTAGGGTTTGTGAGGAGGGCTGTTTCGGAGGCTGCTAGGGGCTACACCTGTCAATGCTGAACTAAGAGCAGAGCTGGACGTCGCTTCGGGCTCTGTATGTGTTCGGGGTTTGGTCCCAGACTGCCCCCAAGGGTCTTTGGTCCAGTAGGTCCCTGTCTCCCTGTGGCATCCTGCTGTGCCTGTGGGCAGGCACCATTGTGAGGGGACAGACTCGCTCCCCGATTTCTCAGCTGCTTTCTGGCTGGGGAGGAGCAGTGACTTTATTTCTGGTGTGTGCTGCCTGTGCCCCCATTTCTAGCGTGGGTATGCCTGTGTCTCGGCACAGCTCACCGCAGTGGGGAGAAGGCTGTGCTGTAGCCATGCACGTGGCTGTGGCTGAGCTCCCCTGAGCTCTGTGCCAGCACGGTGGTGCTGCTTACATGTAATACCATGAAGCTCAGCTGGAGCCCAGGTTTCATCCTGCACTGTCTCCTGAAACAGGAGATTTCTCCTTTATTCTCCTCTGGCAGGGCTCTGCCAGTAAGGGGAAGGATGAATGTGTGCTGCCTGCCTTCCCCTGCCCAGCTCACTGCACCTTTCCTTCTCTCTAGGTCATCAAAATAGAGAAGAGCTTTGTGAGCATGGTCCCTGCAAAGGTGGAGATTACACTTTGTAAAGCCAGCCCTGGCTCCTGGGCCAGGCTGGAGCTCCCCCAAAGCAGGTCGCAGTCCCGTGGTGAGCAGAAGGAGGCTGCCAGCTTGGAGGAGTCCGGGGCGGTGCAGGGGGAGGACTCAGATGACAGCTTGAGCTGGTCGGAGGAGGAAGACGAGGAGCTGGACACGGGAACACCGAGCAATTGACAGTCAAGTGTTTCAGCAGCTGAACAGTGCTGGCTCCCGAGCTGCCGGGGACCCCAGCACCAGCTCCAGAGCTGGCTGCAGGCTCCAACACACCCTCTCCCCTGGTCAGCAGGGGCAAGTAATAAAAAGCAAGAGCAAAGGTTATACTCGGAAATTCCTGATAGGCACCTAAACGTCGGCGGGCTGAACCCTGCCATCCGTCCCTCCTTCTCCCGTGCCTGGCCGGGGCAGGACAATGGCAGCTGCCCCCTCGTCTGCACCCCCGGCAGCCTGCGCCTGGGCCCGGTCTCCTGGGGGTAGGGTGCTCGTAGCCCCGGCGTTCCGTGGGGCCCTGGCCCCGCGGGAGGGTGCGGAGCTCGGCCCCCTGCGCCGCCGCGCTCCCGCCTCAGCGGGGAGGGGGAGCCGGGCCCAGCGGCGTCAGGGGGGGCGATGGCGCAGGGGCCGCGCGCGCCACGGGCCCACGCCACCGGGGGTCACTGAGCGCGCGCGGCGCCCTCCCGCCCCGGCGCGGCGCCCCCTAGCGGGCCCGCCGGGAGCGACGGCGGCGGCGGAGGGCGCCTGCGCGCGGGGGGCGCCTGCGCCCGGGTGGAGCCTGCGCCGCCACCGCGGGAGCAGCGGCCGCCGGCAGCGCGAGGTGAGCGCGGGGCCGCGCCGTGCCGCGCCGTGCCGCGCCGCGCCGTGCCCCCGGGCATCCCCCCCGGGCTCCCCCCGCCGTGCGGCGGCGCAGCCCGCGGCCGGGCCCTGAGGCGAACGGAGGTGGTGGCGGCCGCAGGCCCGGCGGCGGGGGAGCGGCCTCCGCGGGCCCCCGGCGCCCCGCGTGCCTGCGGGTGCTTCCCCTCAGCGTTGCCGCCGGGCGGAGGCTGGGGCGGGCGGGCGGGCGGGCAGGAAGGAAGGAGGATCCTCTGCGCCCGGCCGCCGCTACCCTCGCTATCAGCTGGGCGGCGGCCCGCCGCTGGCCTCTCCGGGCCTGGGGGCTGCGGCGGTCGCGGTTCCCTTCTCGGGAGAGGCTGCTCGCCACCCCTCGGCACCTGCCCCGCTGGGGAAGCCGCCGGCTCCGGAGGAGGGAAGGGCGAGCTTGGGAGCAGCGGTGCGATCGACCCCCCCAGTCGCGGGGTGTGTTATTTTCTTAGTTTCCAGAGGTTACGGGGAGGTAGGGTGCAGGTCCCGGCTTCTGCACTCGGCGGCGTTTGTGGAGGTGAAGGTGCTCGTCAGGGGGCCTGGAGATGCCGGAGGTACAGGGGGGACGGGGATGTGTCGGAACAAGGTTTTCTCTGGTCCCGTTTCTGGCGCGGGAGGCAGGAATGGCCCCGCGGGCAGGTCCTGCGCTTCCCTCTTCCGCGGTGACCGAAGGGTGGGCTGTTCGAAAATCAGGCTGATGCTAATCCGCATTAGGAGTACCGTGACAAATTTAAGGCGACCTCTTCTCCCAGTGGATATAATAAAAAGGTTGGCACGAGTTAGCCTTTTCCAAAGGTCTCTTGTTTCAGTGCTGAGAGTGGATTTTCCTTTATAGGCATATGCAAGAGTAGTCGTATTTGATCTGCTCTCTAAAAACTGCCAAATTGTTGTCTCAGGAAGAGTAGAGTAAGGTAGTGACATAACGTATTTTGGGTGCTGTGGGATTTCAGGAGTCGCAGGTATTGTCTCATTTAGCAGCCACTATAGAGCTCTCTTTCATAACCTTAATGGTTCTCTTCTTGAGTCCTATAAATTTTCAGTACTTGTAACATCCTGTACTAAGGAATTCCTTAACATCAAACCCTGAGAAGCAATGCTACCTATCATTTGTTCTGAACCTCCCTCTTTCTGTTTTAGTTTGATGTCCCTTTGTACTTGTAATTTTTGAAAGAACCAATGAATAGTTGGCATGTGTTCGCTCTTTATAAACACAATTTCCATCATATTTACTTCGAGTTATAAAAAAGCTTTAAATGCTTTTGTTCTTTATGTGTACCTTATGCTTGCAACGTGTGTCCTGTGCTGTAGCTTGGGTGTTCCTTGTACCAGCATCATTAGCTGCGTGTTCTTTGTCGTAAGCTTGTATTTTGATTTTTAAAAAGCTTATGTTCTCTTCTGTGTCAAATGTAAAATGCATAGCATGAGGGCTCTGTTTGGCCCGTTTGCCAGTATTCAGCAGCTCACAAGTTTTTCTAAAAGGAACTTAAGCTTATGAGACATATTTGGCGTTTTAGCTTATTATTTCCATTAAAAAAAAATGCTTTTAAGTGTTCTTATTAGAAGGAACTTTACAGAGATCTTTGAAGAACAATGAAACGTGCGGTTTGTAGTTAGGAGGAGGAAGCTGGATATGCAGTTTGATTTGTTTACATGATGAGGCTATGATTCTTTTGGAGTCCAAAGTGTCTTCACACAATTTGTTATCATGTAAAGATCCTTACCTTTAAAAGTAATATTATTTTTTTACTTTAGCTTTACTTTTCTATGCCTGTATGTGTAAATCTGATAGACTGCTGAGACACTCCTTGCAACTGGTAACCATCTCAATTTTTAGAACTTCAATACTTGATGAAAACAAGTGGCAAATATTGCAATATTGTAGCACATAAGCCATGATACAGTACACACTGAGTGCACACTTTAACTTGTCTTTTAGTTGTATCAAAACTATTTAAAGTCACTTTTGAAAACTGCTATTGATTGACAAAGTGCATTTTTTGTTTGGGTTGTTTTTTTCCCCTCCAGTGAAATTTGGGGGTGGAGGAAGAGAAATCAAAGAGAATGAAAAGCATGTGTGTGTGGGGTTTTCTCGAGGAAGAAGCTTAGATTTTCCCAGTATACACATCACCCTTCAAACACAACAGTGGCTTTGCTACAACTTTTCTTAAAAATAAAGTGTGTTTAGAGTGCCAATGAATTCCAGGTGACAAAAGATGATAGGAAGATAGACTGACTTCCCCCTCCCCTCCCCCCTTGAATAGGGATCAGGAATGCTTTAACTGGATTTATCATTCATCCTGCAATATGCCTAATGCACCTCTTCACAGAACCTAATGTCTGAGGTACTGTCTTATTTTCTTTTAGCCAACGGTACTGAATAAGACCTTGACAGATCTATAAAAGGTATGAAGGACACATGTTATTTACTTTTTATGAACTGACTGTGATATCCAGGACCTCAGAAAGTTGCTTGTGTCACCCAGGAGGTGTGTAGTGGATCTGGGCACAGGACCCTGCAGTCCCAGCTCCTAGTCTTACACCTTTATGGTACTCGCTCTCAAAATGCATCAAGGTTGCTGGTATTCAAATAAATTGTGAAGGGTACCTATCTTGATGAGACCATGTTTCTGCATGTGGATGCAGGAGGAAAATCGAGTTTAATACTCTGCAGCTTTTGCTTATGGCATAGTGAGTGTCTCATTCATATACTGCGGATTCAGGTATCTACTGAAGTCCTAGTTTTTAGCTCATGTATGTCTGTGCAGCTGCACCTTGGTGTAGTGTTATTTCACAGCTGGGCAGCTGTTTCACGAGCTTGTTACTAATGCCCTTTGGAAATATTTATTGTCCAATAAACATAATACTGGATTCACAGAATTTAAGGTCATTGATACTTGGCCACTAATATGATTGCTCTCCTGTAAAATTTGGAGTATGAGTGACTGTAGTAAGAGTGTTGATGCACTGAGGTTTATGTGGTTGAGGTGCCCAAATACCTCAGGCAGACCACTTCATTCTTCACTGTGGTTCCCTAAGAAATATTGTTTACATGGTAAAGCTTATGTTTCATCCCCCCCCCAAAAAAAAACAAACCGACAACAAAAAAACCTCCTTAAATTGATAAACCAATTTCAGCCTAATTTGACAGGGGTAGAGCTTTTAAAAACATTATATGAAAGGTTTTGGGTGGTTTCTTTTATTTCTTTTGAACAACTTTTTCTGCCAAAAGGGATAAGGCCTTTCTAGTATTCATGCTGAGGGAACAACCAGTGAGAATTGCAGTCTTGATAGGTGTCAGTAATATGTGCATGGGAGCTGAACATCCAGGCAGAGCTTTGCAGAAAATGAGCTTCCCTGATTCTGCTGTTCATGTGGAGCTCTGGATCATGCACTGCAGGGTTCCTGCTGTGCTGCTGAAATCTGGCTTGGCTTGTTGATTTGTTTTTTTTTCTCCCCACTGCTGCCACTCAGTCTGTGGCGGTGTGTTTTGTTTCTCCTGCAGGTAAGTGGCAGGACAGAAAGCTTGTGAAAACTTTGAAAGGCACTGAGAATTCCAAGTAGGTCATTCATTGCTGAAGGGTATTAGGGATGAGGTCTCCCATTTAACTTTTTCACTCTTTCTTGGCATGCATTCTAAAGGTCTGGCACTTGTCCATTCGTTTGGCCCTGGCCTAAAACAATGGCGCGTAAGCTGAGCTGTTGTGGAATAGTAACACAGTCTTGATTAAATAGTGGAGAGCCCCTTTCTCTTCCCTGTCAGGTCTGGTGGCTCAGCTGCACACATGAAAAAATCTTTTAACTCCTTTGCATGGGTGAGGATGGTAGGATATACTTAGAACTGTCTTATCCACCCAGTTCATTGTTGAAAGTTTCTGCCTGACTTCACATATCAGGCGGACAGAGTGAATCATCTCTGATCTAGTTTTTGTTACTGAAAGATGAGCAATTAAGTCATTTAGATTTCTTAACTTCTGCTTCTGCTTGCTCCTGATAAAGCAGTATGAAATGTCTCAGCCTGCAAAACAGGGAGGGATTGATCAAAGGTGGTAGCTGAACAGAATGACACAGCTCAGTGATTTCAACTGAACTTAGTGTGTTTTCTGCTTGGTTTTGGCCAAAATGGGGCCCTATACTGGAAAGAGTTACGGGAGACCTGAAAAACTCTGAAAATTAGGTTATAAAGAGCAATCTCAAAGCTAAAATTCATTTAACAGAGGTATCAGGTGTTAACATAGCAAGGGCAGAGACATGTCCTGCTAAGTAGTTCCTCTGCCAAGAATTTTTTGAAGTGCAGGAAGTGTAAAAAGCATAAATCTAGAAAGCCCCAGAAGAATTCAGGTTCATGTTTCCTCTCTGTTTTCTGTCACTGTTCTCTCCCTTCTCTCACCAGACAGGGAACTTTCCTTCAGAAATATTAAAGGGAAGATCTAGAAGTTTTTTCTCCCACAAAAAAATTTTGGTGCAACATGAGATTATTCTGTGTTTTCACTTACAATAGCTTTGTGGGGAGGGGAGTGGAATCCAAATAGTGATTTTCCCCAGCAGATATCTGGCTGGGTTATAGAAGAGCAAGCTGTCTGTGTTAATGATACTAGGAAATATGTAATTAGGTCAGAATGGGAGCAGTTCTCCAGATGATGTCTCAACACACTGATTGAAATCTTGCCGATTCCAAAGGAAGTGCCAGGTGTGCAGGCAGTGAAGGCAGACTTTGCAGCATCTTCTGAGAAGAAAACTAACCCACACAGGAATGTCAGTTTTCTAATTCAAAGGCACTGATGGTCAAGATAGAAATAACTCTCATCTATTTTTGCAAATCACTTCTTTGTGAGGTATTTGGGTTTGTTTTTCTTTTTTTTCTTTTAAAATTATTCCCATTCTGCTGCTGTAGCTGCTAGAACTCTTCATGTTCTGATGATTTTCCACCTTAACTGTAATCAAAGTCCTTTCTCTGGTGGCACTACACAACCCAAATTACCTCTCACTACTTTGGGCTTCCCATTCACTCCTTTCTCTTGCTAAATAACCTTTAAACTTGGATTTGAAGCTTGTGCCCAGCTTTCTGTTTCATTTCTAAATTCTAAGTGTTGTTTTTGATGCGTTGACATGTTAATCTGTGGTTTTGTTGTTGGTGTTTTTTTTTTTTTTTTTTTTCAGTTCTTGTTACCTGTTATACATGGAATTTTTCTCTCTAAAGTTTTCCCAAAAAATTATTTTGAAGGTCACCAAAAAAACCCCAAACAAACCCTAAACTAATTTTCCTGTTCTTGGTAATGTTTGTTGGTAATTCTGCTTTCGGAGTATGGTTTTTCTTCAGCATATATTTATATTCAAATGGCATGCAATGCCAAGTTCAAGGATGCTTGAGGAAAAACGCCAAATTTTCCATGCAATTTGAACACCAGGTTCTTGCTATCTTAGGAGAGTTTTATTGCTAGGCAACTTGTTTACAAGGGAAAATAAATAGAGACTTTATACATTTTGAACAGAGTGATATGTGGATTTAATAGAAAAGACCTGACAGAGGTTGTTGTTTGCTTGGTTGGGGCTTAAATTAAAAAAACCTGTCTTCCACATGTAAATTTTTAACCAAACCTGCTCACAACATACAGGTTTTTGGAGGGCAGGAGGTTTTTTTCTACTTTCGATTAATTTATCTAAATTTTGTGCTTCAGTACTAAATCATGTGTATCCTGGTGTGTGTTTGTTTTTCTGTATTGCATATGCTACACAATTCCTTTCAGCTAAGACAACCTACTTTAAAGGAGCCCTGCAGAGAAGCATACTTAAAAGCCTGCAAGCTCTTTAATTGCATTTGTGTAGTACATACTTGGCCTGATGCTTTGATATGTTTGCATTGGAGCTATTTTCTACTGCAGATGTTGCTCTTCTAAAATCCAAGCCTTAGTCAGTTAATTCAAGATACTAATTCTGTTAAAGAGCATTTGTGTTCCAGGCTTTTTTGTTACTTTACTACTGTTCTCTGAATTGAAAGTTCTAATGACCTCTTAAATCAAGCCCAAATGAAATAATCTTTGGGTAACATACTTTCACTAGAAATTTTAAATTGGGTTGAATCAAGCTATTTGAGCTGCTGATGGTATGTGGCTTTGTAGTTTAGCAACATATGAAACTGCCTATGTTGTCTTACAGTATTGGTGTGATGACCCTCCAGATACCAGTGCCTGGTGTGTGCAGGTAGGGGTGCAATTCTCAGATAGCCTGTCTTTCTGTGAAAAGCTCTGGACAGAAATGCATAGAGGTATAAGCCCTTGGGAGAGCTCCTGGTTTGTGTTTTAGGGAGATCTGTTTCCAAGTCTTTGCAATTTTTTTTTACTTTAGAAACTGGGAGCTAGGCACATGAAAGGCTTTCTGTAACTCATTCTCCATGAGACTTTTGTTGCTACAGTTGAGTTTTTATTGCACGTATCCACCTGACTTAGTTGTGCCATCTCTGTGGTGTCACTTGTTACTGACTGATCAAAATAGCAGTCCGTTGCATAGGTAGTTCATGTGGAAAAAACCTTTTGCTCTGGAATTGTTGCTCGCCACTAAGGCTTCTGGCACATCATATTCTAGTACTTAAGTGGTTTGAAGTAAATGCAGGAATTAAAACCTGTTCTCTGTGCTGCAGTCCAGTGATACTTTGTCAGCAATAGCAGCATATGGTGTTCCTCCTCCGAGATTCATCCTCACCATATGCTACCACTGGCTTGGCTGTACCAACTTGCTTGATTGTGGTACTACTTGGATGAAACAACTCCTCACGGTTTTTCAGTGTGTGGTCACAGCTGAGGAGTTGGCATGCTACCTGGGTGGGAAGGGGAAACAGGGTTTGGAAACTTCTGAAGGCAGCCTCACTGCGGGAGGGAGCGTGGCACTGTGTCAAAGGAGGTAGCGATCGGCCCTGCAGGGAGAGCAGCAGTAGAGACTAGGATGGTGAGCTACGGTTGCATCATCAGGTACAACAGTGTTATGGTATTGAAATACGTTGCTCTTCTGTCACTGTTTGCTTGTAGCACTTAGATCCTTTGTGTTTAGAAATACTGTGTTGTATTGTATGCTGCCAGTAGCAGTGTTCAACCTCTATTAATAATATAATGCTAAAAATGTTTCATTTGTAATATTTTAAGTAATTTTTATATTAAAAGGGGTTTAAACTTTGGGGTTTGCAAAATGCAAGAAATGTTTCTAAGCCTTTAATTTGACAGAACTTTTTTTTTTTTTTTTTTTTTTTCTTCCCTAGCCCTGTTAAATGAAAACCTTGGTGCAACTGTTCTGGAATAACATATTCAGTCCTGCTTTCAGCTTTTGGTCAGTGCTGTTTTCATTTTACTGATTACCTTTACAATATGCAGTTGCATATACAATTCTCTTTACATTTGACTGGAGCCTAGAAAGGGGTTGACTGATTTTTTTTGATGTATGATGAAACTCACATGCACGCTTTTCTGTTGAAGCTCAAAAATATTTGCCAGATTTCATTTCAGGTGATTAACGTTGTTTTAGAAATGTAATTCCTGCCATTTTCAACACGGATAAATTGCTTCTGCATCTTCTTCCTGCCTGTTTTCCTCCAAATTCTTCCCCTCCAATGTCCTGCTGGGTCTTTCTGGAGCAAGGTTTCTGCAGTGTTTTCCACTACCGATTGGTTTTTCAATAGTGCGGGTGTACATACGTCGATACTTCCGTAAGCACTGTATGTTGTGGTCACCACAGTTGATATCACTTGAGTTGCCTGTTGCAACATCATGCCAAAGCCTAGAGTAGTCTGTTTTCACTTAGTACAGAAGAATCACATGTGTGCTCCCAGTGGGAAGACAGCAGTATGTGGGTACAGATTAAGACCCTATCAGAAAGGACAAAGCTGAGACTTAAATGGTAATGAGTTGCTGATTTGTTTGGATGGTCTTGATTAGGAGGTTGGAGGGAGGGGGTTTCATGCCTTATTAGTGAAATACTTCACTATTGCTCATTTTCCTATGTTCCCTTTGCTATTTTGATGGTGTTGGATCTGTGATCTTTCTGGAATATGCAATATAGTTCCTCCCACTATTTGTTTCTTCTGTTTGAAGCAGTGTATTTGCTGCTGGTTGCAAGTTGAGGATTACTGATAGTACCTCAAAGGCATTTGGGTGAGAAGGCAGATGCAAGTTCTTTCTTGTTCGGGCTAGCAGTGGAACTCCAGCATACAACAAATCACTGCTTGTAGTTGTTCCATGCTGTTTTCAAAGTTCCTGCTGTTCATGTGATGGAAGTTTAGAATTAATTCAGTTTTAGGCTATATCCAGTTGATTATCAAACCTACTTTTCACATATCAGGAAAGGGAAATGGGAAGCCTTTGAGTGTCAGATACCTTCTGTAACAATTCCCCAGTCTGCCTCAGAAGGCTGTTTGCTGATCTTTTTCAGCATGTATTTTTCCAATGGTCAGCATAATCTTTCTTTATTGTAGCTTAAGCCTATTAAGTTCTGTTTGTTCTGTCACTGATTACTGAGAATAATTTGTTCTTAGATTCTTTAGAAAAATTCTTTATGTATTCTAATCTGGATACTATGTCTAGTTATATTTCAAAGAACAGCCTTTCTTGTATGTGCTACTTTCTGAACCTTTTATCTGGTGTCCTCCAAATAAAGCAGTTTCTTGAGGTCTGACTGATCCTGAGGCGAGTGAATTATTATAGTAAACAGGAGTAGTGCAGCCCAGCAATGGGTATCTTGGTTTATTATATAATTTTTGGACCTTTCTATGTGGTAAACTGTTTAGGCGGTGGGCTATGTAGACAAGAGTGTGAATCTTAGAGGGTGTGTGTGTGTGAACGTACAAATGACAGAGTATCTTGTTACTATGTCCGAGGTGATGATCCCTTTCCACTTGCAGGTACCTCTAGGGGCTTGTCCCTTTGCCTTTGGGAAATTGTCTAGCAGTAAGGCAAGTCTGTGGGAATGTGGCTAATTTGTGCTTTTGTGGTTGGAATGCGGCCAGTTGACACTGAGCTCTCAACTCATTGCATCTCTATTTCACTATTGTGAGCTCTTCATAATGGCTTCTGAGACACTGAGTGTGTCTAGCTGTGATAAGAAATTGTTAGCAATATTAAAAACACTTGTTAAAGCTTATTTTTCAAATTGCTATCACAGAATGTGGTTGTCCTGACTTTTTTTTCTTGTTTTGTGCAGGACTTTGTTTCTGAGTAAAGAATGCAGACTATAAAGTGCGTAGTTGTTGGAGATGGCGCTGTGGGAAAAACTTGTCTTCTCATCAGCTATACCACCAATGCCTTTCCAGAAGAGTACATCCCTACTGTGTTTGACAACTACAGTGCCCAAATGACTGTTGATGGCCGGACAGTTAGCCTGAATCTCTGGGACACTGCAGGCCAGGAGGAATATGACCGCCTGCGCACACTCTCATATCCTCAAACCAATGTATTTGTCATCTGTTTCTCCATTGGTAGCCCCTCTTCCTATGCAAATGTGAGGCACAAATGGCATCCTGAAGTTTCTCACCACTGTCCAAATGTTCCCGTTCTTTTAGTGGGCACAAAGAGAGACTTGAGAAATGACCTGGAAACAGTTAAAAAGTTGAAAGAGCAAAGCTTGGCTCCCACTACCCCACAGCAGGGGACTTCGCTGGCTAAACAAATTGGAGCAGTCAAATATTTGGAGTGCTCAGCATTGAATCAGGAGGGTGTTCGGGAGGTGTTTGCTGAAGCTGTGCGTGCAGTTCTGTATCCTGTGACAAAGAAGAACACAAGAAAATGTGTCCTATTGTAGTTACCTTGGGTGATGGATGTTTGAAGCTGAATATTGACTAGAACCTTGGAGGGCTTTTTAATGAGTTCAATTGAAGATTTGCATCTTGCACTAACAGCTGTAAGCAGAAATGGTTTATGCAATGAATATTCTTGCAGTCTTATTGCTTCAGGGAAACTGAAACAGAACAGTTTTTCTTTCCAACTGAGAGGTCAAATATCTACTTTATTTCTAAAGTTCCAGCCTTCAGCTTCTCCAGGGATCACTTGGCTTCTGTCCTTATTTAGTGGAGGAAAATAAAAGAAGGGACTTCTCTGAAGCCAGACTTATTTACTAGATAGCCATCAGTTACTAGATTTGCTGAAAAGCACAAATTCTGATAACTTTGCTTTAAGTGTAGCTACTGCTTTTCCTCTCTCTTATTTACTGATTGAATTTGTTTTACAAACAGAAGTCTGGCTGTCCATTTGTTTTAATTTATCAATTTAAAGCTTGAAAACAATTTGTTTACATGCAAAAAATGCCTGAAATATTACTGAGATTCACCTTATAGTGAATTGTGATGGTTTATGTGAAGAGTTAGCATAAGGCATATTTAATGCAATGAGCAAGACCCAGGGAACACCTGCAATGATTTTATTAATAGAAGCAGGAGCTGATTTCTCCTAATGTAAGAAACTTAGAATAATGATGAATCACTCATTTGAGTGATTTTCATGCTTTTGAGTTGGAGAGGTGGAAGAGCAGTTTAGATGCAAGTCTTCCATAATCTTCTAAACTGAGTTTTTATTTCACTCTCTGAAGAGACTTTGCACCCTGAGAATAAAGCTAACACTTACCTTCTTGGATTGATCAAGGTAGTTGGGATGACACTTCTCAAAACAAGATTTTCAGTGTGGTCCCTTTGATGAATCCCTGAGACTTGATCGCAGCCTGTTTGCTCTTCAGGAATTCATTGCTTCACTTCTTAATGTTCTTGGGGCTACCACCTGAGATTTGTACAGCAAATTCTTTTTTTGTTTTTCTGGGAGAACATTGACAGAAAATTTGGAGGTTCTATTTATAGGAACCAGAAGCCCTCGTTTCTTCCCGTCAACTTACTGATGGTTTCAGTTAAATTTGTAATGATTACCCTGTCACTGGATAGGTTTACCTGGGCAGTTTTCTCCTCTCTACTAGGTGATCGGTTTTTATAAACTCTTTTAACTGAAGTTCTGTTTACGTACTTTTTAACTTTCTTTAGCAGCTCTAGTGAGTGGCAGCTGGCTTTTATTTTCAGGATGTGCACTGTTCTTTATGTGTGATTCTGGGACCAGCTGAGGAGTGAGCATATGAAACCATCCTTATACTTAACCTTGCAGCTTGGTGGCATGAAAGCAGCATGCTTCAAAGATACTTTGTGTGAAACCAGTGGTGCTGGACTGGGCTTTGTTGTCTGAAGTTGACAGTGCTGTCTTTGTCCGGATGCAGCCTCAATTGGTAATTCAGAACTTGCTTTCTTGTGATTCCCACACATAAAAAACTGCACTGGTGTATACCCTGGGCAGAAAAAAAGCCTCAGTTTTGCAAGATGACAGAAAATACTTCAACAAGGTTATTAGGGATCTTGTGTTAATTTGACCTTGCTTTATCTGTTATGGGCAAAATACCAGGTGGATAGAAACACTTGTATTTGTGCTCTAACTCCCCTCTTTGAAGAGAATGTGCCTTTCTTCAGCTGATGTAACTGATGCTGACACTAACTGCGATTTTTGTATATGTGAGGTATGCTTGTACTGGTATTGCTTTAGCCAACTGCAACCCATAAACTACTACAGTTAATCCAAATGCAGGTATATGTGGCTAGCGAAGCGAGTTCCAAACATTGCCTGATCGCAGGTAACACCAAAACACCCATTATGCATGATGCTTGCAGAAGTCTAGGGACTCTGCATACTTTTCTTCACCAAGTGCCATTGCCTGGAGTGTCTTTGCATCTTTTGCACACATAGAAAAGTGCAGTTCCAGATGTGGCTCCTACCACGGTGCCCTGCAGGCTGTGAAGGTGTAGGAGTATTTCAGTGAGGTGAACTCTTAATGTAAAGGCAGAGCATAGCAAATACAGTAGGCCTTTAGTGTGGGCTTGACTTGCAGGCACCAATTAACTCTGTGCCTTGTAATTCAGGATGATTTTCTATAGGTAAATTTCAGTAACTGAGTAAATAGAGTTTATAACGTTTAAAATGTATTTATTTAAGCCAGTGCACATGTTTTTTTTTTTTTTTTTAATGCTGGTCAGGCCTAAATTGGCTGTCTAGTTGCCCTGGTGCAAGCCCATATTTTGCTTCATTCAAAGATGTGCTTTAAAAAGTTTGTGATATGTTTGAACTTCTCTTAAATAGACTTAATTTCAACAACAGGCACCTTTTTTTTTTTTTTTTTTGGCTACATGTATTTGCAATTTTGTATTGAAGCCACTACTGTTTTAAAAAGTTTTTACTTTTTCACATACTGAAATGTTTTATTTCTGCATCTTTTGTGGTTATTCCTAACTGGATTACAAGATTTTTGTGGAGAAGAAATCCTGTGCACAAGTATTATCACACCCTCCTCCCTCATTTCTCTAGGCCTACAAGAGCAGCTATCCTGGTGTTAACTGGAAGAGAGTATGGTGAGATAATATTCAACTACTTAATCAATTTATTTGAATTGATTACATTATGCTAGAACACTTTATCCCCATCTAGATTACTTAATAAATTGCTTGCACAACAGTACTGAGGAGAATAACATGATAGTAATGAAAATGAACAGAAAGTGAACTTTGAACACCATCAGACACTTTTTCCTGGCTTTGGAGTACTTCATTAAACTTCATTAATAGTCATTTAGATGCCTTGTATTTCTGCTGCTTTCTGCCAGGAGCAGAAGTCCTGCTGGCTGATAGCTGTTTTTTTTCCACCTTCCGCTTTTTATGAGAATGAGCTTCAGGAGCACATGGATCCAATGTACGTTCAGTGGGCATTCTGAGTTTGTGATCTTCCTTCCCCCCCGCCCCCTCTAAAATTCTTGGTGCATTTTATTGTAAGTAGTCCAGTGCTTCTGTCTACAATCCATTCTGTTCCACTTTTTTTTTTTTTGTGTGTGTGGTCAGGTAACAAATACAGACTTCACACAGTCCCATGGCTGGATTTTGTCTGGTTTTGGGAGATCGGAAAGCCTGGGTTAACTGTGAGGGTTTCCCAAACTGTTAGATTCCTCAGTTCGTTACTGAATAAAAACAATGTGCATGTCTGAATTCACAGAAGATACTCTGTGAAGAGACTGATTTTTTAATCTTTCAGTTTGTAAGTGATTTCTGAAATTCTTAAGTGTTTTTTTAAATATAGCTGAAGCCATCCACAAGGAGCTGAGCAGTTCAGGAATTGTGTGTCCAAAGGTTGTATGAGGCACACTTGGATGTGGAAGTGCTTTCTGCGGTTTACAGCTCTAGCAATTTCTATGAAATTTAAACCAGAAGAGCCTCACAGTGCTTTGTCTCCGAGTGCTAAACCTTGCTCTGTAAAACCCTCGGTGCTGCTTGGGCTGATCCCAAGAAAGGGATGGATCTGGCAGGGGTGCCGACCCCCCAGGTGGCCTGCCAGGAGTGCTCGTCAGTGGTGGGAGACCAAGACTCTTGAGCGTGGTACTGATACATACACTGGCAACTTGATTTTATACTATGAAATAATTTGTATTACAGCTAACAGTTTTAAAGGATTTTTTTTTTTTTTTTAAATTATGCGGAATTAAGTTGTAATAAACTTTTCCTCATCTCTCTGGCTCTTGTACTAACTCGCCCTGCTGTTTGTAACGCATCTGGTCTGAACGCCGTGCTCCCCTGTGGAGAGCCGGACCCCGTTTCCGCACTGCGCTACCGGAGGGGGGGGCGGGGCGGGGCCTCCGCCGGCGCCGCCGGCCGCGGTTCCGCTTCCGGGTCGGCGCCGCCGCCATGTCCGACTCGGAGAGCGAGGAGGAGGCGGATGGCGGCCGTGCCGAGCCGTTCTCGCTGGCCGGGTTCCTCTTCGGCAACATCAATGAGGCGGGGCAGCTGGAGGGGGACAGCGTCCTCGACAAGGTAGGGCTGTGGCGCTGCGGGGGGGCCCGCGGCGCCGGCTGAGGTGGGGGGGGAGAAGAACCGGGGTCCCAGCGCCGCGGCTCTGGGGGGGGCCGGGGCCGGGGTGCCGGCTCCGGGACGGCACCGAGCAGGAGGTTACGGGGCTCGGCCCGGCCCGGCTGGCGGGGCCTCTCAGCTGGGACGGGGCTCTGGTCTCTCCAGGAATCCAAGAAGCACCTGGCCGGGTTGGGTGTGCTGGGACTGGGCAACCTGATCACTGAGATCACAGCCAGTGAGGACGACAGCCCGGAGGCCGAGGGAGTCCACCTGGATGAGGAAGGTGTGGTACTGGGGTAGCTGTAGTTAAACAACAGAGGGTCTGCAGTACTATTGCTCTTACTGGAGAGGAAGAAACGCACCCAGGTGATCGGGGGCTGCAGTGAGTATTGTGATGTTATCTGGTCAGAGGTCCTCTGGCAAAGGCCTCCCCTTCTCCTTCTTGTCAGAGTGAATCCCACATTATCTCCTGGTCATTTTTGCACTTGTCCTCTTTAATTTTTAACAAGGTTTTTTATTTTGTCTTTTCCCTCGTAAATAAGTTTATTTTGTGTTTTCCCCTGTGTTAAACAAGCATATTTAGTACACAACATTATAATGCCTCTCTTATCTCTGAGCTTGTTGAACAGATTCACTCAGTAAGTGAAGGGTGTTCCTCGTGCTAAAGTTGGTTACTTACCAATCTTTAGGGGAAATTCAGAGCTGTTGGAATGATGGTAAAAATACTGCAATGGGAGATGTTAATCAGATGTTTTTGTTCCCCTTAGAAAAGGAAGCATAGGAATGGATTCATATGTAGATAGTGAGGTCTGAAGTTAGTAATATATATTAGGATAAAGTTTTGTGTGACTAGAGTTCTTTTCTTCCTAGGCTGGGTTAAGAGCACGGAAGATGCTGTTGATTATTCAGATATTAACGAAGTGGCGGAAGATGAGAGCCGTAGGTATAAGCAGGCAATGGGCAGTCTGCAGCCGGTTCGAAGACCAGGTAAAGGGGATTAGTGTTACGGTTCTACCTGTAGAAGGTATTCTGGGGCAATGGTCCTTGGCAGTCTCTTAAACGGATGACATTGTGCCTTTTCACTCCTTGCTTCAAGTACCCAATGTAAACTTTTGTGAAACTGTGTTCACTGGATGAAGCCACTGCTTGATATCTTCCTTTTTTAAAGAATTAGTTCTGATTAGAGTTAAACTGTACTCAGAAGAGAAACCAGGATCCTCCTTTTGCTCTGGGATCCCCTGGAGAGAATACTCAATACCTGCTCATTTTTCTTTAATCTGTGTTCTTAGGAAGAGGGTTATGCAGGAGGCCAGGTGCTTCTTAGAGATACTTGAAGACAGAGATAAGGTCCTGAACCCTTAGAGAGACACTTCAATCTTAATATCTCTTCTGTTTTACCCTTGAATTCTTTTTCTGAAGTGACTTTCTGCAGAAGGCACTTCGGTTCTTTTGTCAGTTCCAGGGATCTCTATCTGACCTAGAACATATTTTTCAAAGACATACTGCTTTTCTGTTTCAGTAACTGCTAGTGTAAATGCTAAGTCTTTGTATATTCCTTAAAGCTTCCTTACACTTAACCTTTTTGTTGACATATTATGGTTAATGAGATGTAAAAGTGATTTGGGCTTTTTAACTACATTTTTCTTACTTCTTTGGCAGCTTTATTTGCTCTGCAAAGCATGAATAAGGGGAGGTGATAGCAGAATATATATATATTTTTTTTAAGTACTTCAGTTATCTTTCCGTCAGTTTGCCTTTTCCCCTCCTTCTCACACCTTAAATTTCAGTCTTGCAGATGAGTTTGTGCAGGAAGCTGAACTTATAAGAGTTTTGCATCTAGTTATAAAATGAGAATGGTCTTACTGATGAGAAGACCTGGTCTTCCCATCAGGTTGGGATAACTGTGAGATAGTGTAAGTGGGAAGGGTGCCTGGTTACCTTTTGTTGCCTGCTTAATATGTAGTCTTGTCTCCTGACTGGTTAGATGAAGATGAGGATGATTATGATGCTGACTGTGAAGATATTGATTCCAAGTTGATGCCACCACCGCCACCACCTCCAGTACCTGGAAAGAAAGAAGATGAAAAAGATGCAGCTGCCACTGGTGAGTGAGGACTTTCTCCTCTCTGTTGATATGAATGTTTGAAGGAAGCAAACACAGCTGTGTAGCAGTGCGTTCTGTGACAAGCACCACGTGTCATCAGAATTTGGTCTGCAGACTGCATCTAAAGGTGGGTCTTTGTCCTGATAGGCAATGTTATAGGATTGTCTGAAAGGTAGGGTGAAATACTGTATTTCCAGTGATTGTTAAAATACTGATATTGACAATGAAACTGCTTTTTTTTTTTTTTTTTTTTTTTTATCTCATCCTCTCACTTGTAGCTGGGAAATTCACCTGGAACGCTTAGGATAAAATGAAAAGGTTAAACCAGAATGGTACTCATAACACCTGCAGAGGCTTAATTTTTGCATAACTTGGTATAAACAGTAGATGTGGCATTATGGGGTTGTACTAGGGGACAGGGAGGAAACCTGTTTGTTTATAAGGTGCTTGTTCTATTGTAGTATCTGAAGATGGAGACGGTATCATTTTGCCCTCCATCATTGCTCCTTCCTCTGCTGCCTCCGACAAGGTGGATTTCAGCAGCAGCTCTGATTCTGAGTCAGAGATGGGACCTCAAGAAGCCAGGCAGGCAGAATCCAAGGAAGGCAAACTCACACTTCCTCTTGCAGGAATCATGCAGCGAGATGCTACCAAACAGTTGCCAAGTGTTACAGAGCTCTTCCCGGAATTTCGACCAGGCAAGGTATTGTAAGAGATATGTGGAAGTGACAGAAACTGTATCATGTAAGCCCTCTAAATATGAATCGTATAGTATTAAGGGTATGTGGTAAGTAATCACATAGATGTTCTTGCTCACCTCAGTGCCTTCTTTAGTTTCTGTGTGCTGCTGTTTCCAGACTGCCTAACATTTAATGCTTTTCCTGCCATTTTCAGGAGCCTCTCAAAAAGCATCATATAAATCAGGATCTGAAATAATGTTTTACTGTTTTGTAAGACCATAGCCACAGGTCTATTGATTTGTGAAAATTGTTTTTCTGAGATAGTAGAGAATACTTTTGCCAGATGATTAAAAAACATAATGCTAATCTGTCTGCTTTCTGGCTTTTCTGGCAAACATTTGCTTCTACTTTCATGCTGTCCTGAACTTGGTATGCTCTTCCTGAAACAACTTGTGATCTGTATCCTTTACTTAATCCCCCCTCAAAACGGCACTGAGTATGGATGAGAAATTAGCTTAATAACAAGTTGGTTGAAAGAATTATTGTTTTTTGCACAAAGTGAATTCATTACAGTGCTTTTGTAAATGCTCCCAAATAGCATGTGTAGTTGATGTATTTCATTATTTTGAAAGTTTTAAAGCTATCAAGAGGAGAGGAAATGTGGGAGGGGAAGGAGAATAAAGATGAGCTTGTAGTTGCCAAAGAGATGGTTATGAGCCAGGATAGCTTGGTTTCATGTGTGCCTCCATCACAGCTGTTGTGTAAGGAAGAGCTGAGCAATTTGCATAATTGTTGTGTTTTAATGATTTAGCTAACCTCTGTCTATCAGAAATCTAAGGTGAGGCTCTAGCACAGAAGTTAGCCTTCTGGATGCTATCGGCTTTTGCAGATTTGGTGTTTGCTCTGTTACTGTATTTTTTAACAGTTGGTGTGTTCAGTTCTTTGGTGGTCAACATGTGATGTTAGGGACTGGTTCAGTCTTGAATGTGCCGCGTGGGTGTAGAAATCAGTGCAGGCTGTAATGCTGAGCACTTTTCATAATTCATTAATGAGCACTAGAGCTGACAAAGGCTGAAATCCTGTAGATTTGGCTGCGGTGATTGTTTGATGTCTGAGAATGTGCTTGTTAATGTAGCACTTTTTCTTGATGAAACCACTTAAAATAGCATGTGGAGAAGTGGACTTTGTGTTTCATTAAACTGTTAGCAGCCTAACTACGTCTGAGACCATTACTCTTGGTGAAAGGTCATTGAAACTGGCTAAAGGGTTCAGAAGTAATCTGAGGGAGTTTTGGGAAGAAGGAGAGCGTGTGCATCTCTGGGCAGAGATGGAAAGAGTGGTCATATAAATGTTATTTCCTTTGGGGATCAGCGTAACAGATTAACAGGGGAACATTAATAGGATATGTCTTTACAACTCTCATTCTAAATCTTGTTTCCTAAATCTGTCAGTTAATTTGGGAATAAGGCTTTCCCTCTTTACAAGAGTTCTCTGAAGAAGCAGTTTTCAGTTCTTAAAAGCCAGCAATCGTAATTGTAGAAGAAACAGAGGAGAAAGTTTGTCATTGTCATTAGTGCAGGTTTTGGAGGTATGCAGTATGCAGACGGGGGGGACTGCATTATGATGGAAATAAAAATTAGTGTATTATTTCTGGACTGTGGTATTTGTTTTTATCTGGTTGCTTAAGAAATGTCTGTTTTGTCTCTTTTGCTAATAATTTTATCTGCTCTTCTTTAGTCTCCATGTGTCTTTCTGAAGGTTGTGGATTGTTCAAAATGAAAATAATTATTTCCAGGTGGTGTCTGACCACGTGCCCAAAATGTAAAGGCAGTCTTTCTTCCCTATGAGTTTCTTTGTGTCTGAAATTAAGAATAAATC